AGCTGGGCCACGCTGGGGACCAGTCTCAGGGCCCTCAGGAATGGAATCCTGGGGACAGACCTGGGAGGGGCTGGGGGAGGGAAGGGAAGCAGTCCTTCCCGGTGCCACAGGCAGGAGGCCAGGGAGGGCGGAGGGGGAGGAGGGGAGGAAGTCCCCCCCTGGGCAGGTCACTCCCAGACGCTGGGCTGGGGCGGGGCGGGCGATGGAGAGCAGATCTGAGCTCCTGGGACACCTTTGAGCCCGCTGCTGCCCAGCTTCCCAGGAACCCTCCCAGGACCCCAGGAGCCCAGCCAGGTAAGGGTCTGCAAGGGCCCCGGGGGCGCGCCGGCCCTTCCCACCCAGTCCCCAGCTCTCCCGCTGCGCCTCTCTGAGCCTCTGTTAGGACAGGGGGTTCTATATGTTTGCCTCGGGTCTGTGGACTGCCTAGGTGGGTCCTAGGCTCCGTTTGTCCATCTGTTTCATTGTCCCCCTCTCTATCTTCCCCTGCCCAGTCCTAGGAGGAGCATAGCAGGGCCCCAAGGTCCATGCCTGGCTCGGTGGGGCCAGACCTCACCAACCTTGACCCAGCTAAGGGTGTCCCCCCAGCTCCCGATCGCTAGAAAACACACACACACACACACACACACACACACACCCCAGTGCCCAATCACTGGAAAACACACACGTGCATACACACAGTTGCACTCACAGGCTGGTACCCCCACCCCACCCCAGCCCCACACACAGACACTATGCCACCCTAAGGACCTCTGTCCAAAGAGTCTGGGCAGCGGGGCCGGCCCTTTGCAGGGGGGAAGCTGAGCTCGCCACCCTGTCTCCTCCAGGCACTCAGGACACCCCACCATGCTCACGGCTCCCACCGTCTCTGGTAAGGTTCCAGCCCCTGGGCCCCTCCCCTCCCCCAACTGTGGGCTTGGCTGCAGTGGGGTTGGAGGAAGCCTAGAAGCCCCTGTTTCAGGGACCTCTTTCACCCTTCTCTCCAGGAGGACCCTGGGGGCTGGGGCTGCCCCTCCCTCCCTAGCATGTGAGGTGAGGGATGAGGGCCCTGCAGGTGGGGCATCAGAAGACCCAGGCCACTGGCTCTACTTGTCCAGTGGAACCTCCTTTGGTTCTCTGATCCCCCTGCAGAGCACACTCCCCTAACTTAGCCCTCTCCTCCCCCCCTCCCCGGTCCTTGCCCAGCTGTGCCTCAACCCCTCTCTCAGCCTCTCCCACCTGGCAACAGCAGCAAGGAGGACGCCCGGAACCAGCTGCTAGCCCAGGCGGAGCTGGCCCTGCTCTCCATAGTCTTTGTGGCCGTGACCCTGAGCAATAGCCTGGTGCTGGGGGCCCTGGCGCGGCACGGCCGTCGTGGCCGCTGGGCACCTATGCATGTCTTCATCGGCCACTTGTGCCTGGCTGACCTGGTCGTGGCTCTGTTCCAAGTGCTGCCCCAGCTGGCCTGGGATGCCACCGACCGCTTCCAAGGGCCCGATGCCCTGTGCCGGGCCGTCAAGTACCTGCAGATGGTGGGCATGTATGCCTCCTCCTACATGATCCTGGCCATGACTTTGGACCGCCACCGTGCCATTTGCCACCCCATGGTGGCATACCGCCATGGAGGGGGCGCTCACTGGAACCAGCCAGTGCTGCTGGCCTGGGCTTTCTCACTACTTTTCAGCCTGCCCCAGCTCTTCATCTTTGCCCGGCGCGAAGTGGAAGGCCACAGCGGGGTCTTCGAGTGCTGGGGCCTCTTTATTGAGCCCTGGGGCCTCCGTGCCTACGTCACCTGGATTGCCTTAATGGTGTTTGTGGCACCTGCTCTGGGCATCGCTGCCTGTCAGGTGCTCATCTTCAGGGAGATTCATGCCAGCCTGCTGCCAGGGCCAGCAGAGAGGGCCAGGGGACGTCGGACAGCCAGTTCTGGTGAGGGAGCCCCTGTGTCGGCAGCCATGGCCAAGACCGTGAGGATGACGCTGGTAATTGTCATCGTCTACGTGCTGTGCTGGGCGCCCTTCTTCCTTGTGCAACTGTGGGCAGCGTGGGACCCGAAGGCACCGACGGAAGGTGGGTGTGGCTGTGGTAGGGC